TATAGCCAAACGAATTTTCAATCTTGAACTGTTTTGTTTTGTAAGTCATTCACTGAACAGCAGTATCCATCAATGGAATCGATTCTATCATTGAATTCTCAGTTGTAATCGAAGATTGGAGGCCTTTTTCTTTTTTATGAAAAATAGGAATTATTTATTCGATGTAGATCTGCATTCCGACTTAGCTTTCTGAATTTGCCTAATCTGACCAGAAATCTGCCCAAACTTTCATCGTTAATATCACTGAACAGGAATTTTTACGAACAATTTTGCGGTCGAATAAGGTGAATATACATGCATATGTCGGTTGTATGAAAGCAGTTTGAGAATTGCGACGGAGTCTGCGCAAAAAATTTTTTTGAAAAAAAATTGAAGATGGAAAAGCTTGCTTAAATTTACACTTACTCTAAGCGGACATAATTTCGAAATATTCAAAACAGCTTTTGTGCAGAAACATTGAAGCATGCCACCTAAGTTTGACTCAAAATTCTCAGGGGTCTAGCTCGCTGATCCAAATTTGATGAAAATATTTATGACGCACCCTCCAAATCAACTCCTGGTTTTGTTTGCGCTTGCCCCAGACTCACTTCGTAGGACTGCTCAATATGTAAACAAAAAAAATGCGCTTTAGCGATTCCAACGATTTTTAGCAAATTTCCTTTAGTTTCATTCTCTTGTGGTGGAACTTTGGCAGCGCAGGCTTACGGACAGACGTTCTCTTCGCCGCAGTATCCGTCCGAATACCCTTCAGGAACTGAGTGTGTCTGGATCGTACAAGCTCCTAAACAGCAATTGATCACACTCAGCGTAAGTGCAGCCTTTAGAAGGTAGACAGAACGAGAATTACGAGCTATTCCAGATTGAGGACGTTACGCTCGCATCCGATGACGAATTGATAATTTACGACGGCTCATCACCAACGTCTGCTGTCTTGGCTAGGTCTAAAAAAATCGCTACCAAAAATGTTACCTCTTATCTAAACTGAGTATTTAGACTCTCTGGCAACAGCTCCAATAGAGAATATTTGGTGACCACACAAAACAATGCCTACATTTACTTCTTATCCAATGTAAGAGGGAAGGGACGAGGATTTTCGATAGGCTACAAAAGAGGCACGGTCTAGTATTTTTTCATCTGACTAAGGAACCCGACGATTAGTACCTATTCAATACTGTTCAGGATGTGACGTTGTAATACATCAGACATGGGGATCAGTACTTTCCCCGGGAAGCCTCCGGGTACCCTATCCCGCTGGAATCGAATGTACCTATACCATGGAGTTACCCGAAGAGTACAATGATCAACCATTGAGTGTGCGCTTTGATCGGTTCGACATCGCTGCCGATGATTATGTGAAGGTATTCCCTATTTTTCATCAATTCTACAGTACTCTATTTTCCTTTGCAGGTGTACGAAGGTTCCACAAAAGGTCGAGCTCTCCATGAAGGTTCTGGTTTCAACAACGAACAGCGTCCTCCACAGCAACTTACCTCGCGAATGGGCAGAGCTCAAGTGGTACTGAAAACAAATGCTGTGCGAAATGCTATGGGATTCAATGCTACTTTTTCTCTTAGTAAGTTTTTGCAGATCAAGAGGG